TTACTTGTTGCTTATATTTATTCACTTTGGTTTTTGTGTAATATTCCACCATGAGAATGTTCTATAATGTATTTATTCACTTTCCTGTTCATGGGGACTTGTGTGTTTCTGGGCTATGCAAAGGAATGGCTGTGAGTTCTTCTTTACATGCTCTCTTGTGTGTGTAAGCAAGAGATTTTGCCACCGAGGAGTGGATTCTTTGGGCCACAGTGTTTATGAATGTCCAATTTTAAGAATTAGTGCCAAAGTGTTTTCTGATGAGATTGTACCAATTGACATTCCCACAATCAATACATGGAAGCAATCTTGTGGATCCATATCCTCTCCAACATTTGGCATTGTCAGATATTTAGATTTTTGGTAATTAAGTAGGCATAATCATTGTGGTTTTGATTTGCATTTCATTATTTCTTGAGGCTTTTTATAAATTAACTGGTCATATTTTCTCTTCCAGGACATGGTGGTCCATTACTTTTGTCTATTTCCCCCTTCTTTTGTTTGTGCTTTTCTTACTAATTCTTTGTGCATCCTTTTATTTATTTTTTGGTACTAGGGATTGAACCCAAGGGTGCTTAACCACTGTGCCACATCCCAAGCTCCCCCCACCCCCTGCCCAAACCACCTTTTTTTTTTTTTTTTTTTTTTTAACAGGGTCTTGCTGAGTTGCTTAGGGTTTTGCTAAGTTGCTGAGGCTGGCTTTGAACTTGTGATCCTCATACCTCAGCCTCCCAAGCTACTGGGATTAGAGGCATGTGCCACTGAGCCCAGCTCTTTATGCATCCTTGATACCAGTTCTTTGTTGGTTATATTTTGTGAATCACTTTTCACTTTCTTTATGGTGGCTTTTGCAACCAAATGCTCTTAGTTATAATGCAGTCAGAGTTATTCATCTTTTTTATAGTTAACACTTTGGGGGCTTTATTTAAATAATTCTTTCTAATTTCAAATCTAACATATCATCTCTGTTTTCTACTAAGACTCTACCTATCATTTTCTCTTTTGAAACAATCAAGCGCAGGGAGCAAATCTGAACTTCTTTGGGTTTTTGCTAGTTGGTGGCAGATTAGACTTGGGGTGAAGTCATGTTTTCTATGACTTGAAATATATTTTTGGTGCTCCCTGGGTCTTTTTCATTTAAAAGGGGTCACCTCTGGTGGTGTTTCTAGACTTTACCTCATGTTGTGTCTGCAGTCACAAAATGGGGTGTGTCCTTCATAAAGGTCATGGGTTTTCCTTGCATTTCCAGGGCTCCTGGGATGAGGTAAAGGGTATTATTTTTATGCCTATTGGGTTGTGCTGGTTCCTCTGGGCTGATGACAGCAGGGAGCCCTGAGGGGCAGCAGCTGTGCAAAGCATGAGTGTCCAGGTTGGCCAAAGTTTCCCCATATGCTGGGACATTCCTGCAGCTGTGTATCTCACTGGAAGCAAAGCAAAGCATTGTATTGTAAAGCAGCAGACTGCTGAGCATGTTAAAGTGCATGCACAGAGGAGAAGACACACCCAACCTGTTACTACATGTATCCAGGTAAAGCAGAGCTTGCACCCTCTGAAACACTGGTAAAGAGATGCCCCTGGTTGCTTAAGGTGGGGAGGGTTCCACAGAGAAGTGATACAAAAATAAGCAAAAGCCTTCTACCCATCAGCCTCAGAAGCCTCTTAGCTGCAAGCTCAGCATCTTGCAAGTAGCTCAGTGTTGTATTCCCGTCAAGGGCAGTCTTGGATCAGTTAGATAGAGTTACCCCTGCTTCTTTTTTTCTGGGTCTGAGCTGTAACTAGGAATGTGGGGTTGAAATAGAACTGAAGTTCATAATGCTACTGCCTCTGGTCATGTCACCTCCTGTCAAACAAAGAATTACTGTCCTCCCCCCGAAGGCTATGCTTTTAAATATTGGTGGCTGCCTGAAAGACACAAGTGGATTGGCCACAGGGTGCTGCAAACCAGGGGGCATCCTCACTAGGACTGCAGAATGCAGGGGCACCCCCATGGGATATGGGGCATGGCTTGCTCCCTCCAGCATGCCTTCCACCTTTCCTGTTGCCCTCTGCCTTGTGGTTCAGCCTGTGGTTCCCCTCCCAACTCCTGGCCCTTATTTTGGTGTTTGTTGCGATGCCGACCCACAGCTCCACAGTCTCTTCAAGTAGATCAGGTGGTCCCCATAGGCTGGGACCAGAGCTCCTCATCACCCACCGTGTAGTCTTTCCAAATAGAAGAACCCATCCCATGTCTGTTCCAGGCTGAAACCAAAATTTGAAGGAAAATGCACTTTGGTTTGTGAGTCCAATGTCACATTTTCCATTTTTGGCAAGCGTTCACCTCTTCTGGTTTGTATGCACCTCATAAAATTCATTGCAGGCTGCCAATTCTTTGTCTTCATTTTTACAGTGCTGCATGACGGACCCCAGAGAGCCTGAGCCCACTCTCTGCATTGTGAATCTGTAGGTGCACACTTCACTTTGTCTTCCTGTGTCGAGGGCCTTGAACCAGCAGGCATGCTGACAAGTGCCCCACAGGGGCCCAGGGCCAGGAAGATTTGCTTTGGCTTTCTCCATAGCCTTGCTCTCCATTGGAGTTCCATTTGCTTCTATTATTGGGGTCCAGGTGGGGAATGAAGCTCCCACTTTCAGGAACTTGCCCAGCCCCACCCACAGTTTCTTTCCTGGAAGTGCTCAGTCCCCAGGAGGCCAACTGGAACACTCATTCCTTAGTGTTTGTTCCACCACTTTGAGCAGAACAAGGGGCGATCCAGGAGAGCAGTTTCTCCAGAGCTTCCCTTCTCTGAGGCCATCATGCCCAGGTCAGGAGATTCTGGTCAGGACCCTGACRGACTACCCTTGTGCAGAGGGAACGGCTTTTGGCGATGGGAAGCAACTCTCCAGCTTTTGGCTCCTGGAGTGATCTGGCACAACATCCTCCCGTCTCTGACACATCCCCTCCATTCAACCTGGCATCTGGGAAGTGCCTTTTTCTTTWCAAGCACAGAGGGCCAGTATTTAACATGACATTAGCCTGCTGCAGTATTGAGTTAACCATAAAAAGAGATGATCTTTCTGGACAGAATCATTATCCACCAGACAAAATGATTAAATTTACAGCTCAATTGGTGCTGATCAATATAAATGAAATGTGAAACAACTTAATGTTTCCTCCAGAAGCATCAGTCCTGAGGTTGTCTTCACACAGGCATCCCAAGACATCAGCTCCACACTAGGGAGTCTCTGTACTTGTGAGATTATCTAAGTGCACCATTTCTCTTTCCTTTCAAACTAAATATTGAGTCAGGATCAGCTGGGTTATGCAGCAATAACAAACAACCCCCAAGTTCAGTGGCTTGAATTGGCAAAAGTTGATTCCTCATTGTGCTGCATGTTTAGTGCTGGCCAACAGGAAGACTCCCATCAGAGACACTCAGGAACTGAGCTGGCAGAACACTCACTATTTTGAATGTTGCTGGTCTTCATAGTAGAGGAAAAGAGTACTTTGAAGGGCCTTGTGCTGGCAATCAAGTCTTGGACTAGCTGGTCATGGTAGTGTATGCCTGTAATCCCAGTGACTTGGTAGACTGAGGCAGGAAGATTGTAAATTTGACGCTACCCTCAGAAACTTAGGGAGGACTTAAGCAATTTTGTGAGACCCTGCCTCAAAATAAAAAAATGAAAAGGACTGGGGGTATAGTTCAGTGGCAGTTTGATCCCCAGTACCAAATAAATAAATAAYCTCAGACTAGAAGTGGTGCATGTCCTTTCTGTCTACAACTCATGGGCCAAAGCTATGACTCCAAACTGTCATAGGATGGCAGAAAGTACGGTCTTATCATGTGCCTGGTCAGTGGAGAATAGAGGTATTTGGTGAACAGTATCATTGGCAACCACATTTGTTTGAACTTCAGGTATAAAAATATGGCTAGATTTTAAACAAATCTATGGGATCTGGCTACTTAATGGGATCCTGTCATAGAATGAAGAATAATAGGTGAGTGTGTTAATGCACACCTGCAATCCCAGCAACTCTGGAGGCTGGGGCAGGAGAAGCACAAGTTTGAACCCTGACAATTAAGCAAGATACTGTCTCAAAATAAAAAATAAAAAATATAAAGGTCCGGGGATGTAGCTTGGTGGTAGAGTGCCCCTGGGTTCAATTCCCAGTAATGCAAAAACAAAAACAAACAAACCCCCCCCCACACACAAAAAAACCCAAACCAAACAAAAACAAACAAACAAAAAAACAAAACACACACACACATACACACACACACACACACACACACACACAAACCCAAAACAGAAAGCTCCCAGGATATGTCAGTTTCTTTAAGACATGCAACTTGCCCCCAAACCCATAGATTTCTAAGACTCTAAGGAATCTTTGAAGAAAGAGGGTAGAGGGCCCCAGCTTCTCTCTTCAAACTAGCTGCTGCAAAGCCAGCAATAGTAAGTGCACCTTGATGTATAATCTCCAAGTAGACAAATGCATTGTGCAATTAATTTAAAGCAAGAGGGGAGAGCATAGTTCTTGTTTATACAACGACCACCTCTCTATCAGGATCCAGGCATCGGGCTCCTTTTACTCTTGCCACTGTGAAGTCCTTTGTCTGTAGGGGAGGCTGYGCAAGTGGTTTTCTCTGTTCACTGTGGCCTCAGCCAGGTGCCCTGGGCTATCCTCCATGCTGGGAGACATCCAGTCAAGAGTACAGCTGGTGTCAGGGAGCAGGAGCCTTGGCATCCACGCTGCAGTGGTCACCGAGGCTGAACACTCATACATGGCTGTAGAAAGGTTATTTCAAAGGTGTTTTTTATTCAACTGTTATTTAGCAATATACAATACAGTTTATAAACAAGTGTCTGGCCTTGTTTCCAATCTTTATTTAAAAATAAATATTATTGACAGTGAATTTTAATTATGATGTCTTTTTTTTAATCAAAATGTCTCAAAAGAAATAATTTAATAAAAAAGAAAAGCCCCCAAAGAAAAAGTAAATTAAAAAAAAATCCTAAACACAATAATCTACTAAAAATATTTTGCTTTGTCAGAAAGGCTTTAACCCAACATTTTTACATATTATCCTAAAGATAACTGCTCAACAGTTCGTGCAAAATGAAGACTTGGAGGGAAGGTGTAGAAAAGAAAAATATGTTGAAGTAGAGAAATCATTGATCCCATGCTCACTGCATGGTCCAAACTCCATCTTATTTGGAAACTAGATGCATTATTTTGGGTATTCTACATTTGTGTGACTTTCCCAAAAATATGATTTATTTATTTTCTGCGTGGACTTCTTCATGCTTTTCTCAGTCTCTCTGTGTCCATCTGGCGACGTGGTCCTCCCTAGGGGTGCAGGCAGGTGGTGTGTGCCTGCTGAGGTGTCTGGGTGCCACRTCTGTCAGTGCCCCAGGAGCAAGTGCAGGCACCTATGCAGGGCTAACAGGAGCAGGGACAGGAGCGGGTCTGTGGCATAGCTGGGGCCGGTTCCTGCAGGGGATGAGAAAACAGGCTCGGTTAACCCTGGATTCACAGGAATCTGGCATCTCATAAGCAGACCAGGAGAGAGTGAGACTTCCAAGGCTTCTTGATCTCAGCTCCTGGCCGGAGGCTGCACATGTGGCTACTTCAATTTCATGATAAAGCATTTTGTTGCTGCCACTGCTTGTTATTTATAGACCAYACATTTCAGGAGCCTACTGTGGTCAGACACAAGGTGCCCCTGGCCTAAGGGGGATGTGCTAGATTATAGCTCTAAAGTCCAAGTCATTATCTTATTTTAATAGTTTGCTTTCTCTGCACTGAGTACTATCTATGCTGCAAAATGTCCTCAATAATGAAAACCTAGCTTCCCCTCCTCTTCTGGGAAGATGCCATGATTGCACACAATTCTACCCTTGCTGTGACTCCACTCTAGTTCCCTGCCTAAACTACACAGCTCAGTGTTCCCAGAGGCCCTGCCATAGGCAACCTGAGTTTTCTGTGTGAATCTTCTTTCCATAACCACATGGTCAGTCCATCCCTCGAGCTGCAATGGGGAACTCAGAAATCACTGGATGGTGAAGGTGAGCGAGCTACCATCCTTGAAAAATGACCCTAGCACTCTTAGCACTTCTACCTACTTCTCCAATGCAACCATTAACCTGGGTCCCTGGCCTGCCTCTGAGGCCTTAACACCACACCTTCATCCTGCCTCACCAGGGCCACTTGCCCAGCTCCCTATTAGTCCTCAGCGTCTCCAGCTGTTGCAAGGCCTCCTGTGAACCAGGGAAAGCCCACCCATGAACCCCAGGCTTCTCACCTAGGAAGTGGGATGCTCCCTCCAGGGTTGAGAGTAGCAAGAGTACAAGCACCATACACACTGCTCTTCRGTGCTGTCTAAACCCTAGGGAGCCTCACTGCTAACTGACTCAGCGTCCAGCCCAATTAAGGGAAGCAGTTTCCTGCTCCACCCTTCTCACCTGCGCCACCTGGAGGCCTTTCTCTTTCCTTCACCCACTCAGCCAGAGGGGCTGGAGCTCTGTACCTAGGAGGGGGTGCAGAAGGCCCTTTTTTTTTTTGTATAAACACCGTATGGTGCAGAGGGTGCGGCCACCTTCACTCAGCTGCCTGTGGAAGCTGCTGCCAGGGTGGCCTGTCCCTTCAGTCTCACTCAGTGTGAATTTTGTGGCTTCCCTAAAAAACCTGGGCCTGGATGTATGACTTTCTCTCTTCTGCAGGTAAAAGCATTACTGGTCTTTTCTATCCAACGTGTTTCCTCCACTCCCTAATCGTTCTTGCCCTGCCCATGGCTGGCTGTGTCATGGAGTTCATGYCTTGAGCCTCTTGTTTCCCCTTTGTAAAAGGAGAGGGTTGGACAAATGTTCTAGCTTGAAATTCCAGGATTCCCTCTGTCCATTTTGGTAAGTAGGGGCGGTGTTCAAACCTCTGAATGAAAAGGGGATAGGGGCTATCCACTTTGCACATGTCTCATCCAGAGCTAATTGCTTCTGTGCACAGCTCTGAGCTCCCGCTGAGAAGTGCAAGGACAGGACAGATCCAAATGTGCTAACCTTCCTCTTCAGATCTTAATTTTCCAGACAGTTGTCACTCCTGGCCCTCCTACAGCTTGGCTCAGGATGCCACTCTGCCTCTGGCCATCCGTCAGCAGAAAGAATCGCAGTGCGATGGTCACTCCAAAGACTCTGATTCTGCTTTGCTGCTCCTCACTGTCACGCATCACTGGGAAGGACGAGGTGATGGGCGAGTTGATGGATGGCCAGGTGCCTGGGTGGAATTCACTGAGGCTCAGATGTACAGAAAACAGGGATCTGGCCAGAAAAGCAGAGCGCTGCCTCGTGGGCACATAAGGCCTATGAGATCAGCCTAAGACCAAGGGTCTCCCTGATCTTCTTCCTGGCTCAGATCTTTATGCTCCTGCAAAACCCTGACACTTGAGCAGGTGCAGGTAAGACAGAAATAACTCATGTGAGGTATTTAAAGGTGGATGCTTATGCATAGCACTCTCGACTCTCAAGGTATGCAGTGGCAGTAAAATGGTGAGCCCGACAAGGTAAAGCTGGCCGGGTGGCCTGATTGGAGTGATGGGCATAAGAGAGGCAAGGAGACATTCAAATTTGCCTCCAAGTACCACTGACTAGTCACTGCCACTATTACAGTCTCACCTACGCAAGCTTAAAAGTTTGAAAATTGTGCAAGACTTTCCAAAGACCTTAAACAACCAGCCTGCCACTCTGCTCTGAAATAAGGAGGTAGCAGCAGGGCCAGAAGGCCCTGCAATGGTGGCTCCAGAACCCCCGGGAGGGGACACTAGGATCTATGGGGTCTTTGCTATGTCTGCCACAGGATGGCCACAGTTTGGCTCCTGGATAGAACCTCATTCACTTCCTGGCCTAGTGTTGCCATGGGGGTTGGCAAGAGAGGTGGTGTGGGGCAGTAGGCTTGTCCTGGGGAGAGGGGCTTCTAAGCCTAGCCTTGTTGCCAGCTTGCTGTGTAATCCCAGGAAATTCTCTTCACCTCTCTGGTTCTAGTGTCACACTCCATAAAATGAGGATGTGTATGGGCCAAGTGTCAGAATAAGCCATATTTTAGCAGTAAATTGCAAAATGGCCACAAGAACCCCTCTGATAGTGCCCTCCTGTGCTCACTCTGGGTTTGACTATAGGATCTGCTTTAGCCAAAAAAATATGATCAAGTATGAAGCAAGCAAAAACTTGAAAAATGCTCATGCATTGAGGACTCCCCTCTCACAGCTCTTGAAACCCACTGCCATGAGATAAAGCCTGGATCAGCTGATGAAGGATAAGAGCCATCAGATGTCCTAGCTGAGGTCCCTCTAGACCAACCATCCCCCAGTTGACTCGATACCAATTGCATGGATGAACTCAATAAAGACCAGGGAACTCAGCCCAAATCACTGAACTTCAGCACTGTGAGCTGAATAAATAGTTACAGTGTTGTGCCCAAGCCACTGAATTTTGGGGTTCTTTGTTACACAGCAAAGGCTAACCCATACAAGCATGGAAGCAAAAGGGCCTCAAATAGAATAAAAAGCCACACCAATCAATGTTGTAGAAAAGGGTGACATAATTACTTCTCTGTAAAGGGTTGAAGAAAAACTACTTTTGGTGATGTCCTTCTCTCAAGAGGAAACTTTATTCTAAGATAGAACAGGCAGGCAGACTATCTCCTCTATCACTAATTTTGAGACATCCCTAGTTCTCTGGCGAAAGACAGACCCTGGATGTGGAACTTTCTCCTACCTCATTCACCAGGCAAACAGACACTGTCTTTAAGTTTCCCCAAAGAACCAGGGCAAACAAGGAAGACTGGCTTTGGGGCCTCCCTGAAGGAAGTTGGGTGTTGCTTCTTTCTTTGAGGGAGATTGACTGTTGTCTAGCACTTGGCTATGGGGGTCCCCTCTGCATTTGGATCCTGATTCCAGGAAATAGTGAATTTCCTGAAGGCAGCTAGGGCTATCAGCAATACTTGGGCTGACAGGTCCCAGCTCACCTTACCCCTCTGGGGCCAGCTGAGGTTTGGCTGAGCTGAAGTGGGGTCTCCTTTTTACCCATTGGCCTCTTTTCCAATATGGCATGGAGACATCTGTGCTCCAGGGCATGAGGCTGAGCAGACTGGCGGCTGGTGGAGGCTGCTGTGTTGATTGGATGCTAACTGTCTCCTTATCTATCTCCTCCTTTCCCAAGGAGTGCCAGGAATAGCCTGGAAGAGCGCTGGAGCAGGCAGAAGTTGGTCATGATGAAGCTGCAAAATGAGGCTGCTTGGGAGGTGAGGGAAATCCTCTGACAGAAAGAGCCGCTGATTCATTCTGTACATGAAACCAGCCTCTCCACTTTGCTAATCATTCTTACAGAAATCAAAGCCTCTTTGGCTTAAGATTAAGACATCCATCAAGATATTAATTTTTATCATTTAGATAGCGAGGATAAGAGACACACTGGAGCCATTTAAAAGAGAACCTGAAAGAACACAAAGGGGGTATTTATTCCCCTCTTTTCCCTCCCTCTCGTTCCAAGAAGCTTCTGCCTGGGAAATTCCTTATTTCCATTTATCCAGTAATTGCAGAATTCCAAAGCCCTACAGAAAAGAATATGGAAGTTTTGAGGCTCTTTAATGCATTGAGATAAAAGTAAATGAGGAGACTCTGTTCAGGCCACACTGTCCAGGGGTCAACCATGAGTTAGGTTCCTGACTGGTGGTAGTAGGGTCAAGGGAGGTGGTATCCGGTCACCTACACTCTGGTCTGTCCTTTCTTGCACACGGGGCATCTGCTTTATTCTGTGGAAAAGAGGGTTGGGGGACCACCCACTGGGGCCGACTGAGGGGCCTCTGGGCCCAGCTGGCTCTACTTGGGAGCTTGGGTCAGCGATTTGCAAATAAACGCCACTGAGAGTCCAGGGGTTTTTATAGAGTTGCTCACAGGCTACATTTTTTTTTTTTTTCAGGTTTGAAAAGAGTAAGTAGAATGAAGATATTTTAAGGTCAGCAGGCTGGTTTTGGCTCCTGCAGCCTGGCTAAGTTGGAAGCTCATTTCGTAGGCTGGCACTGTAATGCTCTGCCTGCCTGTAACTTGCTCCCTCCAGGGTTGTGCAGTATATTCCCAAGCTGCAGCCAAGGATAGATACTGTCCTGTCGTGAGGGGGCAAAGCCATTCTAACCATGAGCTCGGGTGTCTAAGGCATCCATCCATGGGGGACTACCTCGGGGGTCTCGAGGTCAGGCCCCTCCTGTCTTGAGCAGATCAAGGCCACTCACATCTGCTCTGCATTTTGTATGTCATAACACATCTTTGAACAAGGGCTCTTTGGCTAGAAGACCTAGGGAACCAAGCCGAGTGGTGGGGATGGGGGCCTTTTGGGCACTGATGGTCAATTCTGTATCTTTTTTTTGTTTCTCTTTTGCAGCCTTTTGAGAATGAGACAAGAGGGCTGCTCCTGAGAGGCAACGGTGGCCTTAACTGGACTTGAGCA